AAGAAGGAAAGCATTTTTTTGCTATTTCCATTGGAATGAAACTCCTGAAGCGTTCAGTAGGTATAATAGATAGAGGGGTGTCTTCACACTGCAAATGCTTTTAACAGTTAAGTTTTTCTTTCCAAAAGTTAACAAAAAGTTAGGTTTGCCTATTTCACACCTATTAGAACAACAAAACAAGAAGGGTGGGAAGTGAAGTTTGTGATGGAAATGAAAAAAAATTACAGAAAAAAATTCTCAGATAAGAGACCAGAACTAGTAGATACCTAAAAGGAATGCTGTCTCCCACAATGTTAATCCATCTGACCAATAAAGTCATTTGCATCCTCCAGAATATAGTCTCTATTTGATCACTATGCAAATCTCCCAGGGACACTACTGGTAGATAAAGGTTTAGAATCAGAGACATACTACCAAAAAGGTGTAAAAAGCCCAAATTACAGAAGGATGTCAGCCACATGGGATTAATCAAGACACTATTTTTTGAGGTTATTTGCACTTTAAGTTCAAAGTCTTCCTCTTATATTAAGCTTTTGATTTCCTCTAATTGCATCTATTTAAGCTGAGTAACATCAGTCTGCTGTGATTGAAAAAAAAAAAACACCACAATTTTGTTCTGACTATAAGTGAAAATGTTTTTCCCCTACAAATTCTACTGTAGAAGTTTGTCTTGGAACATTGTATTAGACTACAAATGGCTATAGGTACCTTTTGTAAACACTGAAGTTGCTGTTTCTTATGCTTGAAGGACAACAGCTGCTGATTGGTCAAGTCGACTATCTGAGCAGCTGTAAATTCACCCCATTTATCAGTATCCTGAGACACATTTTTGAGATTGCTGAGAAGATGTTGACAGTGGCCAGTGGATTCTTCCAGCATCATCTTGTTTTCAGCATTTATGATCCTGAGCTCTTGAGAGAAATTATCCAGAGACGCAATAAATTTGCTGTGATTGGAAGTTGTACTGCTGACTAGGTCTGTAGTTTTCCTGCAACAACATATTTGTAATAGTTCAGAGATTTTGAAAGGTGGATTTTAACACATTCTACATTTAGAAATATTTGAGACCAGAATCAGTGAAGTAGTGCAGTTCTATCAAACCAGTTAATTATAATGTTGTTGCACTATTTAGTAAATTTACAAATTACAGAACTTGGAGCAGTAGGTTTGTTAAATCCCCTGAAAAACTCAACACACACACACAAACAAAAACCCCACAAACTAAAACCAACTTTGGCAAGACCTTAGTTATTCAGTCTGCAACTGAATGAAGCATGCTGCAATATCTATGCTATTATACTTTAAGCTAAGCCTTTGTGGTATCACGTACTGAAGTCCCGCCATACTGAGAGCCATTCATCAGCATATATTGCTCCCAAACCCATGGCCTCTTATCTGCGATATGCTTGAGACACAAGTTTGAGGAAAAGCCTTGTGGAGCTACCTTCTACTCTGGGAAAAGGTGAACTATGATCTACATTCTGTGGCGAAACTGAGCTCTAACATACAGGTCTTGTCCAGAAGACTTTACAAGCATATAAATATGAAGAGCATCTAATTTTGCAGTCCTCTTCATACACAGTTTTATCTTGCATCAGCTACACCAAAAGTAATCTGCTCCTTACAGGTGAACATTTTCTTGCACAGCAGTGATGGTGGTCTTCAAGCTTCCATTTTTTACAAGTACATTAGTTAAATTCTTCTGAGTCTCCTGAGCAAACAGGTCAAGCTGGCTTTGCAGTGAGGAAATCAATTCAGCTGTGCTCTATTAAGAAAAGTGACACACATTTCACTGTTATTCTGCACTTTTTAACATTCTTAAAGGGTAGTTGAACATCTTCATTAAAAATGCAGCAAAAAAACCAACTTTGTCATTCTAAAGCTGAAGGCACAATTTTTGAGTAGAGAAGATACAGACACTTTGCTTTTGGAGAGATATGTAAATGCATATATACTGACATGCTCAGAGCAAGGATAAATTTTTTGTTAACCTTCCTACATAAGCTTCTTAAAGCAGCCCAACAAAGGCTGAAAAGAACTAGGATCATCAAGTTACCGTCCTAAAATTTCTTCTGAAGCAAGTACAACAGTTTACTGCTACAGAGTTTAAATCAGAGCAAGCAATCACACTTGGTGTTCCGATTTCTTCTTACTCTAAGGTTACCTTTGTATGTGCCAATCTCGTCATTTCCACTTCTTCTTTTAAATTCTCACAATCATTCTGAAGCTGAGCAAAAACACTGGCCGTTTCTTCCTGCAATTTTTTCAGAGTGAGAGAAAGATCTCCAAAGAAGGTATCCATTTCCTTTTTATGATCCTCCATCTATGAAAAAAGATTTAAAGTTAGATATTTGTCTTTAGGTAAGACCTGGATACTTTTCCCTAGCAGAATTTATACAGAAACAAACTCTACCCCAAGAAAGTTGTCAAGGCACTAAAAGTATTGCCTGTAAAAGGTGCAAAAGAACACTTTGAGCAATCTGAAGTTACAGACTGGAATTTGGTGTGGGCTTTTCCAAACACAAAATTTGTGAGGTAGACAAAATAGACACCAGCAACATACTTGGTTAAGACAAGAGTGAGAAGCAAGAGCTAGTAAGCCATGGATTATTTGTTGTCTAACTCTGAAAACCAACAAAAAGCCTCTAGATAAGGGGAGTTGATTTCACATTAGTTCTAATTGACAGAGGGGGGGAAATTTTTCAGAGCAACAGATCACCAGATTTGTTTCTGACCAAATGAGAAAAAAGGAATGAGAGTGAGGCTGCAGTTCTACATATACATCACAAGATAGATTAGAACTAAAAATTGAAGCAAAGGACCTTTTTTTTTTTCTTTTTTTAAATAAGTGCAGTGTTGTCTGCAGTTATGGTTATTGTTAACAAGATATAGCATCACGTTCCCTAGGAATCAAAGTGATTACAGAAAAAGTTTGTTATGATGGTGGGAAAAATTGGGAGTGATAAGACTTGACTAAGTTGGTTATTTTAGATTTCTAAAATACAGAAGAGACTATATTAAGAATATTATCAAATATTGTTACATAGAGCTTTAAGCATCCACGTTTTACCATTCTTCTGTGGCATTCAGGTGAGCAGTTGTGCCCATATAGGTAACAAGTAAATACACCACACTCGGAAGTGGAAAAGAAGTCTGAAAGAAAGAGCTAAAGAGATAGAACTCATGGCACAGACTAAAGGAGACAAGGCCAGACCAGAAATGGAAATACCGACACACTGCAGAAAAATCACCAAAGGGTTATCTGAAAATATAATAAAATAGAAGAGCACAAGATAAGAGACAAATTATGTGCATTACCTTGTCAGCCACAGCAGAGTATTTCTTCATGTTACTCTGAAACTGACAGTTTAGCCCCAAGACAAATTCTACCATTGGCGTCAAGCTATTTAATGCTCTTCCTAATCCAGATGTATGTTCCTCCTAGGAACAAGGTTTAAAAAAAAAAACCAAGTAAACGAGGATAGATGGGTATAGATGACTCTTCCTTCATTTGTATTTGTAAGAAGCTATCCATATACATATCTATGTACTCTGCTATTACAGTATTTGCTACATAGTACATTAGAGCTTGTGGTGGTGCCATAGGAGGGGAAGCAGGGAGGGACATAACCATGGCCAAGTGCTGAAGCAGAGGCAGGTAGAGAGCATCAGAAAAAACCAACAACTATACAATATTACAGAACCCCTTTTGATAGAGAACAGTTTCAAATACATAAGTAACAAAAGTATGTAAAAATTTACTAACAATTAATCTCAGCAGCTCAGCTTTACAATCGAGTGACAGATTCTCATGTTGTGTTATTTTTTCAGACATGTGAGAAACTTCGGTAGACACCAATTCTTTAACAGAGGCAAAAGATGCTGATACAACTGATGCAAGAATATTAGCTGCTGAAGAGCTAGTAGACAGGAGGTCACCTACAAAAGAAATCAAGAAGCATTACAAAAATTTTTTTTAAAAGTTCCACTGTGAGATAGGAACTCTTTTTATTGCTCATCACCTTATTGCCTTTTACAGCACAGGAAGGCTGTTGATCATCCCAGACACATTATTACTAGTGCAACTGTAATCATTACATTGCTTAAAATAAAGCCTCTTCCACTTACTAAAACAGATTCATTTTAGGAAATTGTTGCAAAAAGTCAGGATGACATATTGATGCAGGTATTACACTTACCTATAAAATTTGTGTAAGATGTCAGCATCTGTTGCTGCTTCAAACTGTTTTCACTAATTGAATCTTGTATTTTGTTGAACAAAACATTCATTTGTCCTGCAAATGTATTTTGGACGATAGCATTGTGTTGATCAACAGCCTTCTTACGGTCCAGTTTTGCATGGAGACCAGATACGTCTTTTGTAGTTTCTTCAACTGTACTAAGTAACTACAATTTTTTTAAGTTATTTTAGTCAGTCTTTAAACAAGAAGTCAAGCATACGTTATATAAGGAAAAGCAACTGTAGTTCTGAGTTAAAGGAGAAGTTATCTCCCTAGAAAGACAGGTATTTCCCTTTACATCACCAAATTACAAGTTTCTTAATCCTGGTGTTATGTCATTTATAGTCTTAGAATACGGAAAAAAGATATCTACTTGAGACCATTTGTTCTGACTTTGAATTAAAGCATTAATAAAGGACATCCTCAGTATTTAAGGAATTAAGATATCATTTATCACGGAGTAGTAACCAAAAAAAATTCCTGACCATTTAAACTTTTCCTGAACAATTTGATAGTAAATATATTCTTTAACATTAAGTACTCAAGCAAGAGGTTTCCAGTACTAGTTCTGTGATAATTTAAATTTAAATGTATAGTGGACTCCTGATTTTGTAGTCAACATAAGTAGTTTCTGTACCCGCTTCTCTCACACACACACTCCACAACCCATATGCAGAAAACCAGGCATCCCCTCCCAACCTTACAGGAATCTGAGTAGAAAGAAATTTTCATGTTGACTAAAGATACTAGTTTCATCACTTTACAGTTTAAATAGCAGGACACTCTTT